GGGGGGGTGAGATAGCGTGTTCGTAAAATAGGCTGGAAAGTTGCTCACTAGACCACTGAAAAATTGCTACAAAATTGCCAAAAAGTTGCAACCCAAATATCTTGATATTTTCACATCAACTTCAATTAAAAGTTTTACTTTTCCTTCTTCACAATAAATGTTTACATTGGTCGAGAAAAATACCTTGAAATTTCGCTCAAAAAATAATTATGAGCGAAATGTAATAATACTCTCAAGTCTAACGGAACAAAACACATGATTCATTTGACATCTTGCTGAACGATATGAGGAGAACTTGAACAAAAATAGCTCTGCTGATTTCATTTTCAGAGTTTAAAACTACACATCCCTTGAAGTTTGCTACGAAATTGTTGACTTTGTCGAGCTTGATATGTGATCTAAACCTGTATTTAGCTTCCAAATTGCTCAGAAAGGCAAAATTGTTCGAGATTGCTAGAACCGCAAAAAGTCGCTCCAAACGCTAAAAGTTGCTAGAAGTTACTGAAAGTTGCCAAGCACAATCGAGACATGCCTAAGGGCGAGTTGTGTTGCGTCGGCAGTTAGCTGTCACGAAAGAGACTGGTAAGTGGGCAGCTTTTACAAGTCACAAATCCATACAAACGCTCCCTGAGGTTGTCTCGTGGAGGGGATGGTTGTCTCGAGTATCCAAGACCATCTAAACCGGGTCTGTTTATGAAAGCTAGCCTAACTTCTAGATATCTTCCAACGTTAAAATCTATCAGGCTTCGATTTTAACTTTTGAAACCTCTCTCTCGCTGTCTTGGGGGATTGCCAAAAATGAAATTTATCACAGACATGATTGGAGATAAATTCCCTGCGTATCGCACCTGGTAGTTTTTCACTGGAATAAAACATGCTTTATCTCGAAAACTATATATTTTTCTGATTTATAAAAAAAATCTCTACCTAAACCTCTTAAGTTCCTCCATAACGCAGGTTTTGTTATTTCTGAAAGAAGCCTCACAGTTTACATCAGGATTGGTCCCTAGTCCTTACCGGCTGGGGCCTGGTTTGCAACGTAAGCGGTTACAAAGCTGACGTGGAATGTTAAGCAAATTTGTAGCTTGCAGGAACTGTCTGTGTAAACATGAAAAACGCTTTTCACTCCTCGCTTCACAGATCTGACCAGAGAAGCTAGGATAGCTTTGTCGAGGGTACTTTCTAATGGGTGACAGTCCAGATCTTCGTCTAGGAAATGCGCAGATAGCTGCTGGAGAAATCGACCACGTTGAGTTGCTGTCTTCGCAATCCAGCGCCCTTTTCCGCTCGCAAGAATTTACAGATGTTACCTTTAATGTTGATGGCTCGAAGATTTTCGCTCACAGGGTCGTTTTGGCTGCCCGGAGTGAGTATTTTAGGGCGCTGTTGTATGGAGGAATGAGAGAAACCAACCCAGAAACTGAGATCGAAATTAAAGACACTACGGCTTCCGCATTTGATGCCTTACTCAAATATATTTACAGTGGAAAAATATTTCTCGGCGATTATAAGGAGGAAACGATCTTGGAGCTGTTAAGCCTTGCACATAAATATGGTTTTCTTGCTTTGGAAAGTGCACTTCAAGGATATTTAAAATCCATATTAAGCATCAGAAACATATGTGTAATTTTTGATGCCGCGGTACTCTACCAAATGAATGATTTGTGTGCAACTTGTTTGAGCTTTCTGGACAGGAATGCTGTGGAGGTTTTATCAACAGATGGCTTTTCGTGCTTGACGAAATCGGCTTTGACAGAAGTTGTCAAAAGAGACTCGTTTTGTGCGCCTGAAAATCAAATTTTTAGGGCTGTGCAGGAGTGGGTCGAATCTGCAGAAGAGATGAGTGAAGGAGATTTTAAAGACATTTTGGACACAGTTCGACTTCCCCTCATAAGCTTACATGATTTGTTTAACACTGTGCGGCCTTCAGAGCTTTACTCTGCTGATGCCATTCTAGATGCAATTCAAATTAAGACAGAAAGCCGAGTTCATGAAATGAACTTTCGAGGGCATTTGGGTAAGTTAATGCACAAAATTGAAACAGTACAGCAATAACGGTAATGGTATGAATACGACATATGCGGTAAAAATGAATTTAAGGTTTGAAAGGTTCTTAATTAGTTGAATGTTGAAGTTAAGATATTTTTGATAGGAATGTCTTCAACCCTTAAACACTCTAGTATCAGTAAGTGTATTCTCCATACTGTTCTTTATAAATTTCTTATTGTACTGACAAGGAGACTTTGTTTAAGAAACAAGTGCCTCATGGGCTTTGGTTGTAAAATAAATTTTCCTCGTCTGTACCATGAGAATTGTATAAAGAGCAGTAGGGGACAGTGATGGCCCGAGTGGAAGACATCATTAGGCATAAAAACTAAAAATTTCTTAGTTAAATATTCTCAGTCAACTGATAATTCAGTCACTCCCTCTTTGGCTCTGATGGTGGTTTCCTCTCAGTCTGTTAAACTGTTAAATGATTAAAGGGGGTAAGTTTCTAAAAAAGATTGTGGTAATGTGTTGGTGCGAGAGTATAACAAGGTAATTTGGTACTATCAACTGAGTTGATAATGTAAATTGGCCACCATAAAGAGTTTCAAGCTGATGTTTCAAGTGTTAGCCCTCCATGAATTGCTCCGATGATGGGGTTAAGTGAATGACAAAGGGCTTAAGCTCCAAACGCCCACTTTTAGACTCTTACCAGTGGCCAATTTACGTTATCAACTCAGTTGATAATACTAAATTACCTTGTTAAACTGTTAGTCACATTGAATGAGACTAGTTTCATGTAAGGGTACCTTAACCCACACCATGTCTCTTGCCTTTTTGACAGAACTTCAAGGAGTTCATCTGTTGTCTGTTTGATTTCTCATTTGCTGACAATAATGTTAATTTTTCCTCCGTCAACTGAGAATTGCTGTAATTTATTATTAATTGTTTTAACAAGTGAAGGCAGGCTTCGATTGAGTTTGAACCTGTCACTTCTCAATATAATTTGGGTGATACTACCCAATGAGCATGTTGTAGCTACTTTAGTTACAGTATAAGAGTTGGAAAGAAATAATGGGCTCTTTGTTCCCTGTAAAGAGATCTGATCACAAGTATTTTAACTACTGTATTTCATTCAAACTTTTTTTATCAATGCCTAAGTTCAAACCTTCTCTAGTTCCAGATGAAAACATTGCAACTTCCCAACATGGTGCTGAGGTGATTGAAGGAGAAATGAGAGAGTCCCTGTTGGATGGTGACACTACAAATTTTGACCTGGATCGGGGATTTACAAGACATCTCATTCTAGAAGGAGACAAAGGGATCTGTATTGCACTGGGCAGACCCAGTATAATAAACAATATCAAGATGTTGTTATGGAATAAAGACCCAAGATCTTATTCATATTACATAGAGGTGTCTGTCGACAATGAAGACTGGATTAGAGTGATTGATTACTCCAAGTATTTCTGCAGGTCCTGGCAAAGGTTGTACTTTAAACCAAGAGTTGTCAGGCAAGTGATCAAAAGTTGGGTGTTAACAAAACCAAAACCATTTGATTGTGATGATGAATGAAATGTTTTTCAAGTAAATATGCAAAAGTCTTTTGTTAATAGATGTTTAACTTAGCTTCTTGATCAATACTAAAAGCAGTATGCAAGAGTCAATTCAACATGAGAATTTGAATTAAGCTTTAATGGAAGAAGTGTACCCTAGCGCAAATTTTTACTTTTCTTAATATACAATGTGCCTTTTTGGTCAGAATTTCTGACTAAGGGCTTAAGTCTATGGCAAAATGCCATGATTTCTACACATGACTTATTTTTTATGTAAGAGTGAGAAGTTGTAAACAATGGAACAAAATGCTGCTTTTAACTCATATATTCATAGGTGGCACTTTTCTTTTAGCAATTTTGCATTTATTACCCTTTGTTCCTATGGGAGCTGTTGTGGCCCTATAGCTAAAGGGTTGGACACAGAGGTCTGGGTTCCAGATCTAGCTGGGACATCGTGATGTGTCCTAGGGCAGTGCCTCTCTCCAACCAGAAGTATAAATAGGAACTGGCAAATTGTCATTGAAGCCTGATAAATTGCTTGGGGGTACCCTTGTGATGGACTAGCATCTTGTCCCAGGGGGAGTAATGATACTCCTCATTGCTTCATGCCATGGAAACTGGGATAAGCTCTGGCTGAATGAACCACTCAGCTAAGGTACAGGCTTAACCTACCCAGTACTTTGTTCCCAATGTAATTTCCTCAATTTTGTTATTGTAGATATATCCGGGTCCTTGGAGTTCACAACACTGTCAACAAGGTTTTCCATTTGGTACATTTTGAGTGTTCATACTCCAATACTACATATCAGCTGGGAGAGGACGGTGTCATTGGTGAGTTTCAATTATGCCCTCGTTCTGTATGCATGGATGCATGTAATATGCAAAGTCAAGGCTAATAATCAAACTTACAATCATGTGGTAAGTTTTGTGAAACTAGAAACTTGTCTATTTTAGCTTAATCCTTTAACTCCCAAGATCTGATTGTTAATTCTCTCCTCCAGCTGCCACAGATTTCCTTGTAAATTAGTTATGAGAACTTGGTGTTAGATCAAGATAGCAGCTTCAACCTGATAAGTTCTAATATTCTCATGAAGTATTTGCTGAATAATTTAAGGATATTCTAGGGAGAATTTTCATGTTAATCACTTCAGGGAGTTAAAGGGTTTATATGTTTTTAACAAGTTCCACCGGCCAGATTCAAAACTAGAGCCAATTATGTTAGTTTGCTTGTTTTTACTTTGAATTCCCATTGGCTCTTGGTGGTGTTATCCTTTGAGCTAATTTGCTGTTGCTATTTCATTGGTTTTGTTTTTTTTGACACTTCATTGAAATGGGTGCTAAGGAATTCTTTATTAACCCTTTACACCCTAAAATCAGCATGCATATTCTCCATACTGCTCTTTATACATTTCATAAGATGCTGACAAGGAGAATTTGTTTACCAATCAAAAGCTTCTTTTGTTGGTGATCATTTTTTTTATTCTCATGACCCTAATGTGTGATTCAGGAGTAACATTGTAGGGAGAAATTTGATGCTGGTCACTCTTAGGGTTTAAAGCCTTGGACCCCTAATAGTGACTAACATCTAAGTTATCCTTGAATCACACATTAAGATCACAAGAATAAGCTCTTGATTGTTAAACAAATTCTCCTTGTTAGCACTGTAGGAAATGTATACAGAACAGTATAGAGATTATGCATACTGATGTTAGGGTGTGAAGGGTAAAGTCAACTTGAAAATATGTTTTGTTGAGTAAGTCATGAATTTTTTCCTGTATGTAGTCCCATTTGAGAATGTTGCCTTGCCGTCACTGGGAGCAAGTGTGATCGAGGGTGTCAGTCGAAGTCGTAATGCCCTTTTAAATGGAGAAGTTGGAAATTACGACTGGAACATTGGTTACACTTGCCATCAGCTGGGAAGTGGTGCCATTGTGGTTCAGTTACCTCAGCCCTACATTGTTAGCACAATGAGGTAAGGAACCTATGATAGCCATGGAAATTCTCCTTACAAAATCATTACATCATTAAGTGGACTGGGAATGAGAAAAGAGAGAAACGTCAACTGGAATTTAGCTTCCATCTAAAGCCAAACTGTTAGAACTGAGATACAGACACATGTTTGGTAATAGGCTAGAAGACCCAATACGACAAAAACAACAACACCAACCACATTTAATGGTGCTAAAACTTACCCAATGTGCATTATCAATGAATGCAGCATGTTAAAATAGAGAAGAAAGAAATGAAACCATAGGCTTTTCCTAATTTAAAAACAAAGACCAGACAACACCATTTCACTCTTAATTTGAGAAAGTTTCAAAATTTGAGATTGTGGTTGGTAGATTCTGCCAAAAAAATTGCTCTTCCCATCACAGCAATATTATGATCTGACAGGAATAATATGTTGCGCTTGTAGACTTCTTCTGTGGGATCTGGATGAACGAAAGTACAGCTACTTCATAGAGGTGTCATGTGATCAACAGAGTTGGGTTCGAGTTGTGGACAAGACAAAGGAAGTTTGTAGGTGAGGAAACACTGAGCAAGTAGATGAGATGCTTTAACACCTTAACTCCCATGAGTAACCACGACAGAATTTCTCCTTACATTCTCAAAACAATATCAAGCAAACAAGTGATGAGAATACAGAAAAGCATCAATTAGGGAATTATTAGTTGATCCAATACCAAGTTTTCCAAACTGACATCATAAGGATTGTATGGCAAATGGTGAGGAGAATTACTGATGAGATCTTGTGAATGAAAGGGTTAAAAGACGGCAAACAAAATTTAGTGCAAGTGATAAGTGTAAGGAGGTGTGGTCATTAGAATCGTTTTATCTTGCTCATTCTCATTGTGATCCTCGTTGTCATTGTCATCACTATCTCAGATCAATGTTGGGGTAGCATAAGGCTGTCATGTTTTAACCCATCCAGGCCACTTGACCCTGCAATGATTTGTCAGCACCCATATATACTCCCATCTGGAGGAATGTACTTTTCAAGCAATTGAACAATTTGTCACATAACACAATTCAACAGCAGTAATTGTCAGCCTTGGTTCTTTCAATGTAAATCATAAGGTCATTTAGTATGTTGCGCAGAATGCAATGCAGATGTTAATTTTTCCTCGAACAATGAAAAATATGAGAGCACTCAGTTTCTTTGAAGGTCAATGTGATGGGGGTCTTTTACAATGGATTGCTCTTTTCACTCTCGAGATGGCTAGTCTGCAACAACTTGTTTTGAAATTAATTTATGTTCAAGAAAGTTATATGTTATTTCTACAATGCCAAGGATTTCATAACTTTTGCTCTGGATAATTTCTCCTCTTTTATCTTATGTAGGTCATGGCAATATCTTTCCTTTGAGCCAAGACCAGTGGTCTTTGTGCGTATTGTTGGTGTTGAGAACACTGCAAATGAGGTAACAGACTCCTTAAATTGATTTGCCTCTTTAAATACAAAAGCTGTTGAAACAAGCATACATGTGTTTTCAAATATACCCATATTCAGCATATTCAGAGATACATTTTAAAATTAGCTATTATGTTTAGTATTGGATGTGTAAACTGTGCACTATCAACACTCCCACCCAGTCTAAGACTTTAAGTCCACAAGACAGTCTTATCAAAGACGCTTATTACTTTACTTGTACACCCTGGTATGCGTCAATAGATGGAAATCTCCCATGGTGGGGAAAAGACAGATATCAGCTATCTTGAAATGAGAATTTTGTGCATGCTGCCATGTTGGATCTTGTTCCACTGTACAGTTGTCGTCATTATCTGTATGATCCTCTTGGGACTAATGCTTAGAAAAGAGTTCTTTTTTATTGTAATAGTGGCAACCAAATGATTTGTATGATCCAAAATGGCAGTTGAGGTAAAAATCCAATCTAATCCTAGAAACCAAACCCTGCGGCACATATCCCTGTTCAGTTCTAATATGGGAGTGGAATAAAGGGTTTGACACCTATATACAGAAAAAAAATAAAGGACAAATATAGACAAAAACTTTTGTCACCAAAGGAAAAAATAACTTCAGATGTTGAAAGTTCCCATCATTTAAACTGTGAAATCTTTGAAAACCTCCTCAGGTGTTCCATTGTGTGCATTTTGAGTGCCCAGCTAATCACAAAGAACCTATGAACTGCAGCAGTGAAATGACAGACAGCTCAGAGCAGAGTGCTGCATCAGATTCCACTATTAGCTCTATCATGTGACCACTGATGGCCATCATTCTGTGATTTATCAAAACAGCAACTCATCCAAACATATTGCAGTATATTTTATATAATAAGTAGAAAGTGAAAGGAATGGCACCTCAAATTTAAAACAGTTAAAAACATTGCGGTTCTTGTTTTGTTAATTCCCATATCCTACACTTCAGCTAAGCAACAGGCAGTGATTTATTGCATAATCAGAAAGGCCAGCTGAGAAATGGCAACAGAGGAACCAGTTTCACTTGAATCTGCTGGTGTTACAAACACAACTTCCTTGTATCTAAGTTTGTTGAGTAAAGTGTTTGGAACAAACTAAACCAGAATCCTCTGTAAATAGTTGAGTAGGACCTGGTTTGGACTTTGTGTCAGCCATTAAACTGACCACCTTGTGTAGAGTACATGATAGTAAAAAGTTGATAAGTGTGGCTACTTCAATTTGGAAGAGCCCAGCTGTTCTGACTTACTGCTTGTCTAACGCAGAGAATTTTAATTCTGGAATGGCTTTGATTCAGATGACAAATTTTATTTGTGGCAAACTAAACCAAATGCAATGATTATGGTAGCATATTTGTAACCCTTTACCAAGATCATAATGTTAATTCTCCCCTCTAGCTGCTTCACATTTTCATGTAATTTGGTTAGGAGAATTTGGTGTCCAGCCAAAAGTAAATTCAGCTCAGCAACCGTTGGGTAAATCATTTTCCGCTTAAAGTGATTCAGTATATGAACTGATAACCGGAGCCGAGTATCTACAGTTTCAAATTTATTAATGTTATGGATCTTTGTTAATACGATGCTTTAAATTTGCAATTCGAGTACAGCAAATCATATGAAACTCGGGTATACTTACAGAACTTTTAGAAAATTGTGTTGCATCTGTTAATTTTAATGTCACTATTCTTACTGTAGTCAAATTTTTAACTTCTGGATGGTACACTGTTGTGTGTAGCTTATAGTCTTGTTTATTTGCGGAATTTAATCGTACTTCAATGTACAAAGACTTCAAAATAAAATTAGAAATCTTTAAACTGTTTGGAGTTAATTTTTACTGACAGAAAATCACTATACTTAGCCGACTGTGGGACATAATCACAGTTTCGTATCTGGGAGGGCTCATCTTGTAAGCTTAGGCCACCTGTGACCTTTAAGAATGGGTTGTCAATATTTTGTTGCATGCCAGCGGTAACAGTTGCCGTGGTGATGCTGATTTGATAGCTACATGTGGCATTCTTGTAGCAGAGTCGTAATAACAGCTTGAACTGATTGGAGTTCTACTCCATTTCTTCCGTTTCTTGTGGAGCTTCAGGTCTCACCACATTGCGTCTTGATGTACACAACCTCATGGCGATTTCTTCGGCTTCTCGGAAACCTTTTTTCGACAGGATTTCAATGAACGTCACTAGTAATCGGGATCCAGGCGCCAGACCGATAAAATTATAATTCGCGTTTTAGTGAGCATTTAGTTGTGTGCAAAAGCGTATTTGATTGTGAGGTATCGTTCTCCACTTATCACTTTGTGGCCTAACACAGCGTACCAAATTACGACAAAGGAGATGCTAAAAAATTCCGCAAAATTCGTGGAAACTTATTCTTTGTAGGCAAAAAATTGTCATAGCTCCATGGAGGGACTGAACAACCAACCTAGTCAATAGATCAATAAGGGCTAAAGATGCCAACTAAACGTTGGAGTGAGTTTGAAGACGTCGTTTCGTTTTCACGGCCAAAATAACTAACGCGTTCAAAAAGCAGGTAAACGGACAGACGATAAAGCTAAGAACAGCTGCTGGGACAAGAAGACCATGTGTTGTGTTTTTCGACCACTGTCTTCGCCAAACGAGAACGCTTGCAGTTGAATGTGTTCCTTTTCAAACCGAGAGAAAAAAACAAAAAGGACGCAAATGCAAATATTCCTTTATCAGGAGCACACCGAAAGTTGCCAGAGACACAAGACTTATTGTGTTGGTGAATAAATTTCGCACACGAAACACATAGAACCTGGCAGAAATTGTTATTCTCTGTTGTAGATACTGAAACAAATACTGCCGCGGAGTTACGTTCACCAGTAAGGGAATGGTATGGGAATGGTTTAAATGCAACAGCAGTCTTTTGCGATCGACAATTTGTGTTGCTGTTTCGAAGGATAAGCAATCAAAATGTTTAATTTGATAATTTACTGTCGGCTCGACTTTAAATGGTCAGATATCGGTATCGTTACTGTAATAAGGCCAAGCTACATATGGGTCAACTGTTCAAGTGCAATGCAGCATTTGTAAATGGTACTTGTGTTCCATTAACAGTACAAAATTTAATAGAAATGGGTGCTACACTGATAACTCACTAACGATTTCACATCCAGCTCAGCTAAAGACCTCATTTATTAACTGTTTCGCCTCTCAACGCCTTTCCCCTTGCGGAGAATCGATGTTTTGATCGTGGGAATGAGATGGTTAAAGTAAGCTCTCTCTGGCAGACAAATGAGACCTTAACCAGAGGCTATCCAACTTCAAATCAAATGCCTCTCTCTCTTTTCCTACTTCTCTCTCCTTCAGCAATGCTATAATGTTTAAATCTATTGTTAGTTCCTCTCCTTTTTGTATTTTCTTCGTTTCCTTCTTGATGCCTTCATATCAGGATCTTTCCCTTCCTGAATCAGTTTCTTTCTCTTATTTATCAATCTCTTTTCTAACACAGCACTACCTCTGACTTTCAACTCCGCCTCCCTTCGAGCCACCATCACAGCCTTCAACAATGGCAGAACCTCATTTTCATTAGTTTCAAACTCGACAAGCTTGGTATTGATGGTAGCTTCGATCTGTTTCACCCTATCCACATCATACTGCGTTACGAGTGTTATCGCCATTCCACCACGCCCAGCTCTTGCTGTTCGTCCCACGCGATGTATGTAGTCCTTCGGAGACGCCGGCACATTACTGTTAATCACAAGTTCTACTTGAGGAATGTCCAACCCGCGACTTGCTACATCAGTAGCTACAAGAATCTTGACTATACCTGACTTGAACGTGGCCAAGCCTGCAAGCCGTTCCCCTTGCGATTTCAATGAATGGAGAGCCACGCAAGGCAGCTCACACTTCCAGAGCATGTTTGCTAGCGTTTGGCAATTCTTACACGTATGCGTGAAGATGATTACTGATTTATTTTCTCCATGCTCTCGCAAAACATGAATGAGATAGGAGTCTCGCACACTGGCTGGAGCAAGAATGTATCTCTGATCAAGTTCAGTGACTGTTTTTATACTGAAAATAAAAGAAGATAACCATGTCATTAACCCTTTACAACCTAATGTCAGCATGCATTTTCTCCATACTGTTTATCAAACATTTCTTAAGGTGCTGACAAGGAGAATTTGTTTAACAATAAAGAGATTCTTTAGTTGGTGATCATTTCCTTTATTCTTGCGACCTTCATGTGTAATTTAGGGGAGATATTGTGAGGAGAAATTAGATGTTAGTCACTCTTAGGAGTAAAAGGGTTAAGAATTCACCACAGAAGACAATACCAAAATTGTGCACCAATTGTTAGTACACTGAGGTAACAACATGATTTTGAGTGCAATTTGGTGTTAAAAGCATAAGTAAACTTTTAAAAGACAACAAAATTGCACAAGCTTGTAGGGCAAGTTTTGTAGTCTTTGAAAAATGTACGAGTGCCTATTTACACCAAATTCCATATTTTAGAAATGTTGTTGTTTCTTGTTAACAATTTACATGAAAAACATGTCACAGAAATTCAAGACGGACAAAATTTTGGCAGTGCGTGCACACTATTTGTAATTTTCACTTGTGTTACATCTTTGCACTCATGTTACATGAAAAATGCCTAGTTTTCAGCCAATCAGACACACATAATTTTCTCATTTATAATTATTATTGATAAGACAAAAAAAAATCATCATGTTTAAAAGTTTTGATCAGTGGTGCCACTGTCATGTATGAGTATTAACCTTTAAACTCTCACGAGTGACCAAGACAGAATTTCTCCTTACAATATCAATAAAATATCAGGCAGACAAGTAATGAGAACAAAGGAAAATATATCATTTAGGAGATTTCTCATTGATCTTATACCAAATTCTTCAAATTGACATCAAAAGAATTGTATGGTAGCCAGTAGGGAAAATTACTTAGGAGTGCTTCTCTAGCAAATTCAAGCTACAAAGAAAACAGTGCAATGTTTTACTCCACACATACTAATCATTCATATATTTATGCAAATTAAAATGCAAAATTTGCACTGAGGAACAACTTCAACCCTTTACAGGCTATTATCAATATGCATATCCTTTACCCTTTCTGTCCCAAGATCTCATTAGTTCTCCTTACTTTCTGCCTTACAACTCTTATGATGTAAGTTTGGAGAATTTGGTAATGCATCAACTAATGATCTATTGATATTTTTCTTTATTCTCATCACTTGACTGCATGAAGTTATATTGAAATTGTAAGGAGAAATTCTGTCTTGGTCACTCACGGGAGCTAAAGGGTTTATTCTGTCATCTAACATTCCTATAGATACTGAGAAGGAGAATTTCTTTAATAATCAAGAGCTTCTTTCAATGGTGATCATTTCCTTTATTCTCATGACCCTAATGCTTGAATCAGGGGTGATATTGTAAGGAGAAATTAGATGCTAATCACTCTTAGGGGTCCAAGGATTAAGAGGGACATTTTACACAAGCAGTTAGAAAAATAAATATTTCTGTATATGTTAGTCCAGCCATTAGGTGAAGAACAAAAATAACAATGAGATATTTTTTAACTCACTCAGACTTCACTTCATGGTAAAATGGATCATTGCTTGACATCTCTCTCAGTTCTTGAAGAGTATCTGTAAGAGTAGCGCTGAAAAGTAATGTCTGTCTTTCTGTTGGAACATTGTCAAAAATCACCTGAAGATCATCACTAAATGAAGGATCTAGGAGTCTGTCAGCTTCATCCAGAACTAAAAATTTGATTTTCTTCAGGTCAAAGGTATCTGTACTCTTAAGATGATCAGCCAGTCTCCCAGGAGTCGCTATGACAACATGAGGTTTCTCGGCAAGTATCAATGATTGTTTCATCATGTCCAGGCCACCGATAATTACAGCCTCCTTAAGGCCAATGGGTTTTCCAAGTGCTCTGAATTGGTCGCAGATTTGATATGCCAGTTCCCTATAGAGAGCAATGAAAAAGGTAATGTCAGCATCTAAGTCAATTTTTTCAAACCACTGCAGATTATCTCAGTTTCTGACACATAGTCACTAGGAGTATGGTTAATGCCCCTGTCTTCCCGGATGGGATGTCAATCCATTGAAGGTTAACCCTTTAACTCCCAGAAATGATAAATATGTAATTTCATACATTATCCTGCAAACAGGTATGAGAAAACCCCAACTAATCAGGTAGTTGTTATCTCGATCTCAAACTAAATTCTCATAACTCATTTACAAGGAAATGTCTAGCAGATAGAGGGGAGAATTAACAATCAGAACTTGGGAGTTAAAGGGTTGACCCAGGGATTTCAGAAACCTTTTTCGTAAGCGGCTGCCCATGGCGCAAAAGGCGACTGTGCTCGCAGGCTGAAAAGACAGTGGTTACACCCCTTTTCCACTAGATTTTTGGATTTCGAACAAAAAGGCTGGAATACTGTTTTTGAAACCCTTTTGACAGATGATCAACCAGTACAGATAAAGAGCGCTGGCCGATAAAATTTTTCTGTCACATATAAGCTCGACATTCGATCCTGAGACAGCAAGATCAAACTCAACAGAAATTTAAATTACTGGTTCGAAAAGATAAACTAGGCAACGATGACAGTAATTAACATTAAACTAGCTATCTACCGAGTAGGTGTGAGAATAACAGCAAATATTCCATAAGGATCTTCGCAGAGTTTTTGAAGTATGGGTAAAGCAAACGCAGCCGTTTTTCCACTACCAGTTTTAGCACAGCCAATGCAATCACGTCCGGACAAGATTGGTGGAATACACTTTTGTTGAATCTCTGTCGGGCTTTTTATTCCAACAGCATTGCACTGTTTGACGAGCCAGTTATTTAAGCCTAGACTAGAAAACGTGCACGTGGGATCATTGTCATCATCGTCGGCCATTTTGGTGTGTAATAACCCGCTGGGATACATGGGAATGATTATATTCACTTCGAGGGTTCCACGCGGACCCCACGCATGAAACTCGAGGGTCCGCGCGGCGCGAGACTTCTCCAAGTAACATACTTGTTTATGAGTTACATTGTAATCTCTGCTTCTTTAAATCTGGAACTCTGACACTCCAGAACCTCTTAGACTCCATTCTGTCCCGAAGTTATTTATCAACACGATCGACTGGAATATAGTACAAGTGGTTTCTGTGCGTCGACGACGCAAACTCAGGCGAAGTAGTTAAAACTTATAAGTTCTGAAAATCAATTACCACTCAAAAACTAGCTGCAAGTTTAAGCATATCTTCCGGCCACGTCGAGTGTTGGAATCGCGAAAACTTTCTCACTCTACATTCAATTTGTTTTTATTGAGAAAACAGAGATCATGAGTTACTTTTATAAAACCCTCGATTACATTACGCACATTTCTGCCGATTTTTTTCATCTCTTACAGTTTTTCCGGCGCTTGGAAAAATGGAATCAAAAGAAGCTTTGATCAAGTATTCTTGCTGCGAGAAAATGAACTTCCACGGTTCCCTTAGCTCTCGTGGCAGGTTTAAAAGCCTTAGCATTACCTTGCATATCAGCCAAAGAAACTCTCTCTTAGTCGCTCCATAATTTATTTCACAACTTCTCCACCTTTAACACCTATAGCGGCCTCCTTACACAGCTCCGGGTTAAATTATCGCCTAGAGTGCTAAATACACAATTCACACGATCCTAGATCGGTTGTTAACATTCGCGCGTGGTTCACTTCGAGAGTCACCTGGGTCAGTCTTTCTACCGACCTATGACGCGGAAACGAGAGCAGGTCATAGTGCTAAAACAAGAAAGTTAATAAAAAGATGGTTATTTGTGTGATGTCACTAACTCAGGTTGGCGTTTGGGCCGGATCAACCCAGGTTTCGACAAGAGACACCCGGAAATGAGGGTATCTCTTCATGAAATTAGACGGCTAGAGGGTTACCCTTAGGGTTGATTCAGCCCGGGCTAACAAATCAATCGGAGTTGTGTAAAGAGGCCCTTATTTATTTACAGCCACAACGTTAAATAATAAAATTCTTCTAACTGTTCATTTGAGGTTAAAAAGTAATATGAGAGCTCGGCTTTTAAGACAATAGCACAGCCTCGTATAAACTCAGTCAACTAAAATGAACACTGAAGAAGCAAATGTCTTCTTTACAGGACCAATTAAAACATATGAGCTAGTTCTCAAATGGCTACGTTTCTTGTACAATATTCAGCTTGTTCATTAAAAAAAACATCGTAGGAACAAAGCTGTTGGAAGAAGGTCTGAATAAAAAAAAATAAAAACAAACTTAAAAAAATTTAAGAAGTTATACGTCTGCTTGACGGGCCCAGTTCCAACAGACATGATAAATTCTAAAATAGCTGCGTTTCTGACAAAGTATTCCATTTTCATTTACAACATCATAGAAATAAAAACTGTCTGAAGTTAAATTCTATAACTTCAAGTTTGTGTAAAATACAGAGATAAACAGAGTAAAGTCTTCGCACGGTTCAGTGAATCCCTCAAATCATTTAAAATATTTGTGAGAAGACATCTTTAAGTGTTTTTGTGGGTGATTGCTGTCACATTCAAACCAAACGCCACAGCAACAGCCAATTGGAATGCGTTTGGTCATGAATGAACCAATCAGAACACAAGTGTTGAAATACACGCTATCAGATCCAACGCACGAAATGTGTGTCACGCAATTTCCTCATGATTGGTTGAGTATTTTTGCGCAAGTTTTCATAGTGAAGAAATAAATTCTGGATTTATTTTGACACAATGGCGAACCGTTGACGTATCAATTTAACGGTAACCTCTCTTCCCAAAACTTAGATGACTTAATAGGTCTCCGCATATTTTTTTGACAATTAATTTAACCATCTCCACCAAAAACTGAACCTCAAATCGACTAAAAACTAATTTCAAGAGCAAATTTGGTCCAATAAATTTTAATTTGGTAAAAACTATCAAATAGTTGGTCTCCTTCCCGTCCCCAGATATTAACTCGACAAGTCCTCCGCAGGGTATCCTGGTACTACTCGTCAAGGCCCCAACGGGGTACCCCTGGTGCTAACGCTCCCTGACCTTATCCGGTCGGGATCAGGTTGTGGCTGTGCGAGCATGGGGGTGCTACGAGAAATCCTCTCCGACGGCGACAGCTTGGCATGATGGGCTAGGTTGTCACGCGACGACGACCGCTGAAGCCTTGTACCACTGGCACCCATCTTTTCCATCAGCTTTTGACCACGGCTGCTCAACGTTCTCTTGAGGCGTGAAAATGTCTTCTCGCGTTTTCCGTTCTTTTTGTCGTCGTTTGGATCATCTCTTTCTGGTTCTATTGAGGACTTGCTTCCATTGCCGTTCAAAGAGGAAGAGGACGAAGCCACACTGCTGGATGAAAATGATGCACCGCCGACATCTTCAGCTAAAAGTTGAGCGACCTTAGTCTGACGAACAACATCTAGGGCCTGAGGAATGAAAAGTCGTTTGGTTAGATTGACGCTTACCGGTCAAGGAGCTGACATAGCTGGGTGCGGCGAATTTCTCGGTATGAAAGATTGCAAAAGTGAATGAGAGTAAAAACTAGAAGAGATTATATCGAGCTTGAGTTTATAACCATTTATGCGGTTGAAAAATAGTCCGCGTAATTGATTTAAAGGATATTCAAGCTAACAAAAGTTACCATAGGAACTACCGTAGTTGTAGAGGAGAGAATTCCTACATAGAAATACTTTGTTCTGAATGGAAATTAGCGTAAACCTCGCAAGCAATTGTTGATTTTCAAAGAATATTGATTAAAAGCCATATTACACCTCTCGACTAACATTCTGTCGTGATCTCAGCGCACACTCCTCGAGCGTCTCCGCTGCTTCAAACTTGCCCTGCCTGCGGTACAACGCTCCCAAATTCCTGAGGGTGGTGGTGACAGTAGGGCTGTCCACTTTGGCCGCCTTATGCCAACCACCATACTCGCCATATGGCGCGTTGTCTTTCCCGCGTTTACCGTCATCTTCCAGAGATGATTCGGTACCAGGCCCGAATTCCCGCTCATGGGCTCGGGTGAGCACCTGGAACCAAAAAAGAAAAAGAGATTTTGAAAAAGTCAATCTACGTGTGCAATTTGAAGGTGCAGGGTTACTGATATGGAATGGAAGTTTACCGAAGAAGATGGAAATAAGACCCAAACAAGAGCGGGGGAAATTCATCATTTTCCAATCTACCAATTAATGGGTAATATAACAACCAACTTTCAGACGCCGAGTGTAAAAATGTTTTTGGTCTGACATTGGGTCAAAATGCTAATGAGTGCCCCCAACACCCCGTGCGGCAAAGAAATAGTTGTTTCCAGTCCTTTCAGCAACCTCGTTTCCAAAGTCTCTCTATTTAACCTGGGAACGAGTTTGCCTCATGAGGTCTTCGGAAATTATGATGATGATTTTAAGATTCCCTAGGGAACAAGTCCTATTTAGAAGATATCATCGTTTCCTTTGCCATCTTTTGTGCACACATGTTAGAGACAAAAGTAACACAACTGAATACATACATACCTGCTTGTACAGCGTTTCAGCCGCTTTGTATTTTCCTTGTTTCAAATATGCGGACGCCTAAATAACGAAGAAGTTATGAAATCAAAAACAAAGGCGTTCAGCAAAGTCAAAAAAAAAATCTGTAGAAATCTCCGTATCTGTCCTAACTTCAAGGACAGAAATGTTCCTCTTACCAAGTTGTTCTTCGTTTTCGCCACATTAGGATCGTCTGGGCCAAGTTTGGTGGTGTAAATTTCCAAAGCCCGTTGATAGTACTGTTCAACCTGTAATAACACATTACAAAAATAGCTTTTATATTTTTTTCCTTCTTATTTTCAACTTTCCTTTGTGATAATCCTGTCAATGTTATAAGTTCCACAAACCTCGTCGTATTTTCCTTGATTCTGGCACAACAAAGCCAAGTTATTCAATTGCTTGGCTACATCGGGATGGTCTTTGCCGAGTACCTAAAACAAAACATAACCCATAGGTTTAAAAAAGCCGGAGGGTAATCTGGAAAGCACGGGTCCGAATCACGTCGAAGGCGGAGTTTTTTTTCCAGGCTTCTTTTGTCATTTTGAAATTGCAGCTTACTTGCAAGGGGCATTGTTTTATTAAGTCACTCCGCAGGTAAACTGAAATTTAGATTTTAAAATACGACTTTGGACCCGTTCAGTTGGCGGGTCTTTTAAGAAACGGACCTCAGTTCTCAAATGAATTCCGATTGGCTCGGTTGTGGCAGACGTGACACACGGGCCCCACTTTTTGCTTGAATTCTGATTGGCTCGTTGTGGTACACGCATACACGGACCCCACTTTTTGTTTGAGTTCTGATTGGCTCGTTGTGGCACGCGCACGTGTTTGTTGTGAGGCAGTAAATCGAGACGTAAATGTTACCTTTTCGCGTATTTCCAGGGCTCTCTTGCAAAGGGGCTCAGCTTCCTTATATTTGCCTCTCTTGCCGTAAAGCACCGCTAGATTGTTAAGAGTCGCAGCCACCTTAAAAAAAAAACAAAGTCAAGGTTAATTGTTTATTCAGTTAACCCTTTAGCTCCCTTCAGTGACTAGGAGAGAATTTTTCAATATCAAATATCAAAAAATTAATATCAATTAATTCAATATCAACAAGGTGAGTGATGAGAATAAAGAAAAATATCAATTTAGGGATAATTAGTTGATTCAATACAAATTCTCTGAACTAGCATTACAATAATTATATGGCTTACAGTTAAAGGAATTACAAATTTGATCTGGGAGTTAAAGTGTTAAGCTACGCGTAAATAACGAAACGTGCCATGCAAAGATTAGCTCTTAATTGACTCAGACGGATTACAACTGTAAATCCTCTGGTTTCCGTTAACGGAAGCTTTATGCGATTTTCACTCGGCAGCGTTTGAATACTTTGATAGCAACAGATGTTGTTATGACTCCATAATTTAAAGATACCGCGTATTATAGAACTAAAATTCATAAAATTATTTATCCAATTCGTCGGATCAAAAAGGAAATTAGATTACAGACGAGTGTAACACAGGTAAATAACGATGACTTGAACGAAGTTCTCAATTTTCGAGATGTGTTTAAAATCAACGAGATTTCAATGCATCCTTTTGTTTGTTTTGGTGGGAAAACGGCTGCAACAGTAGTGTTCTTATAAATAAGTCTGATGGAATTGAACGTTGAGTACATTTGGATTTAAAAAATAAAACTTAAAAATACGAGAGTAAACTCTTCTCCAAGAACCCTGATGAGCTCAATTACCCATGTAGATGAGGATAGACAAGATATAAAACGTCCAAAACGAGATTAAAATTTTGAAAAAACGTAATGCAGTCAAATTAAAACCTCACAATAGACTGGGAGTTGTCTCCAGACACTAAAAGACCCTCCTGCTGGTGTGAATAACAGGAGCCACGTTACAAACCTTTGACCTCAGAACAGTAAGTGACGCCAGGGATACGCTCCTTATATGGAAAGTCACATTAAAATATCAGCACTAATCCAGGAGGCAACAAGTTTTAAGTTTCAGTTATAAAAACCCTCCGGCATGGATAATCGTTCTTCAACGTTCATATATTGCGCGGTCACGTAACAAACATTTTCGAGCGTTTGAGCACTTCAGCAGACCCACAATATGTGTCAGATTGGTCGATGAAACCTCGAATTAAAACAGCTAAATAGAATATTTTGATCTTGGAAAGGAAAAGCTGTCAAACCATTGTGAAACCCCTTTGTGTGTGCACGCGCGTGCTTCATCAACAATCGAAATCACAATATTATCACGAGCATCTACAGTCCACAGAAACAACAAAACTGCTCCACAGCATCCGCTTATTTGTATTTAGGTCTTGTTTTAACTAATCTACACACAGGTAAGTTAAAGCTGAACATATCTAGAAGAATGAAAGCAAGGGGAAAGAAAGAAATACTGAAAGAAGGGAAACCCAACAAAGAGTCTGTGATTGATCACAACACAAATCAAGTCAAACCTACCGCTGGATGATCCTCGCCGAGTGTCTTTTCTCTAATCGTCAGTGCATCGTGAAGCAAATTGGCCGCCTCTTTATATTTGTTTTGGTCTCTGCAAAAGCAGGTAAGATGTAAGTTAAACGTTTAAAAGTTATTAACTTCTACAACAAGAAATGTTAAACCTGAAACATTTTCGCTACGATACGCTTCGCTACGCGCGCAGACATGACATTTTCATTTCACATCTGTTTCTCAATTCAATCAAAACAGAAAGGTTTTGAAATTTTAGCTTCTGTTTCAAGGCAACTCACTTAAAAACAAACCGACAAATATATTTAATTCCTCCTTATAACATCAATTCCGGTTTTTACAGAAACAAAGTGAAATTTCCCACGACTCCACATGAAAATGTTCGCACTAAAGGAAATTCGATACGATCCTTCTTTCACCATTATCATATATTAATATTCACAAATAACTCTACCTCTCACATGCAAGAGGAAATAGGTATATTGTGAAACCTGGAGAGAGATAATTATAACCGACTGATATTACCACTTAAATATATTTTAATTTAACGTCAATGGTCGGAGCTGAAACATTGAATAATCGTGTAGAAATATGACTTCTAAATACGAGTTTTAAAATCATTCACATGGTAAGGTTTGTGCTGCGTTCTGAACAAAAACTTCAGAAATTGGAAAGCTTCAGCCGAATGCTGGGATATTAAATTGCTTGGAGACAAGAAAAGACACCATATTACTTTTAATTCGAAGATCATTTGTGATTTCAAAAGTGTCACGGGTCCATGCCTCTAAACACAATATACGGTTCGTTGTAGCATGCCAAAACACAACAACACAAAACTTCTTATTAATTCCCTTGAAAACTGAAGCATAAGATTATGAAAACAAAACACAATACTACTTTCCAAATAGGAGACTTCTTGTCTGGCCTAGCTTTTCAAATTTCAGTCATTAATTACTGTGAATATTAACCCATTCTTCTTCGTGTAAACTTACAACAAACTATTATCAGTTTGTTTGACTTTTTACAAGTGTTCACAGCTAGTTTACCACTGAGTGTTTTCAGTTAACATCGTAATAAAGTTGACAAGACAAAGCCACAGCACAAAGACTTCCAATTAATACAGTCAAACATTGTTTTCTGTAAATAATGAAATAACGGGTTTTGTGTTCAAGGGCTTCACGAGACGATTCATACAAACGCATAACTTTGCCCCGTTCCTGAAAAAAGAAATAATTTCTAGTTCAGACATTCTGTTTTAAATATAGCTTTATATTTGTGTTGTATGATTTTTGGACATTTTAACACAGAATGAAAAATAAGCAACATTTCCGGCATCCATGTCATACTGCTATCAACAAAACAAAATGCAAGTGAGCTAACACCAAGTCTTTGTCTACTTGGACACTTTTACATATATTTACATTCTACTACTAGTAAAGAAAAAGACATTTCGTCGTGGTACACTCAGAAAATTTCAAGCTGCAATACACAACCGCCACCGGAAATTTTGCAAATTGAAAACAGCTAAATATAGCTTTCAAACTTTCTAGATTGTATCTCACGTCGCCATGTAGTCGAGAATATAGACTGTCTTGCCCTCAGAATTGTTTTATGGCATACAAGACATTTATGAGCTCTGGTATTTCAAAAATGCAGTATTTGCAAATCGAACAATGCACACTTGCGTTGAGCATAAATTCATGTTTTTTCAGGTCGTGTGATATTTATCTCAACATCACTTTCGATCAGTTCTGTAGTTTGATTCGTATTTGGCTGGTTTCTTATAAATTTTCATTTTCAACAAGGACCATGGAAGTTATAGTAAAGTCTTGATTATTGTGAGCTGTGATTGAGAATTTAAGGAACTAGAGCAAAGTATTTCTGTCAAGTTCAAGTTCAGCTTCTAGAAAGCACAAGTCGTAACAGATTAGAAGGAAACTCTTCCTTTTCACACATTTCCTTTTAAAACATATAATGCACGATGCAGTAGCATGAATTTTCAATTTACTAAATTAAATACGTTACACAGATGTTCGCTTGAGACATTTTTCGTTTTGAAAAATTACTCCTAAGCAATGCCCAGTTCAATGATTCTTCCCTCGTGTATAAATTTGAAAACGAAAGAATTTTGACTGGAAATGCACAGATCACATTTAATCTGTCAACATGAACGGAATTTCTAAAATGTCCCAAGCAGACATTATTGTCACCAAAAGTTATTGAATTTGGTCTTTCCATATCAAATGAATGCTGACAGACTTTGAGTGACGTGGATAGATTTCTTGACCAAAATCAATTCCCAAGGGAATCAGTTTGTTCTGATCAAAACTTCCACAACGGCATAACATGCAATTGTTATGTGCTGAATAGTTTCATACATGTATGTAACTTATGCCTACTCAGAAATTCTACGTCTCAGCTGCATAACCGTAAATATTTAATCTTTCACACCACATGATTTCCCTCAGAGTGGATCAGAAATCAAACTACTTACAATTTATCTTCTAGAAGTTTTTAATCAAAATACTAAATCTTAATAGCTATTTTAGAAACTGTTTTGAAGCTTGGGACTTGTTAACTGTATTCGTTTTAGAATTATTGTTTTGACCCAAGGTGTTCATTTACATTTTACATACTATGAATAAAATATTGATAATCATCAAATTTCCATACGAAATCATAAAGCTATGCATGTTTGAATGACAATAGAGGCCATTTGAATGCAATTTTCTCTAAAATAATTTGTGCGAATGTGTTGCATTAGAACTGTCACATGCCATTTTTACTATTGATGCTGAATTAAGACAATTCCACTCCAAAAGAGTAACTAGTGCACCAGAATAACAGAATAACACAATTTCTGAATTATGGAGAGTGATTTAATCACATCTAATAACAAGAGCTATTGCAATTAAAATGACACAGAGTTTCTATAAACAGCTTTTTTGTAGAACAAAGCTTCTTCAAGGTATAATTTCCATGCTCCAAAGTATATAACTTAAAAATATTGTCCCACTGAACAATGTTTTTTTAACTTAGGTTAACAATAAACTTGAGCATTTTCACAGCTTTCTCAGAGCTATCATGAGAGTTTTAAGTTCCTGTTGTCCTTTCACATGGTCAGTACACTGGAAAATCTCTCACTGTTTACACTTACACAAAAATACACCAAGACGGAAAAATTAACAACTTGCAGGATATTTTTCAAGGTATACAATTATTCACAATCATAACAAAAATAGTATTTAATAGCGACATATAAACACTGCTATTTAGTCTTTTGTACAGTTTTATAAAGTGACATGTCCAGAGGAAGTGCCCTCTCACCCTTAAACTCCCAGAAGTGATTGACATGCAACTTCTCACAACATTACCAATCAGCTATAAAGTGTTATCTAAAAAAAGAATTCATGACTCTAGATTTTCTGTTACTGTTAATATCTGCACCATAGAATAACCAACACAAACAAGGATTTGTCTGCCAATAAGAGCTCGACTAATTGTCTCCTTTCATAATGTGATGACCATTTTGAAGCTGTGTGACTGAATGGCATCAGAATATTAAGTGATGTTCACTGGCTTTCAACCACTACTTATGCATCTACAAGGCTGATGTTATTTAGGTAAACACAGGTTTACTTCAAAGTGCAGTTTTCAAGGATTCCTCAAACTGGAATATGCCAGCCTAGTGTTTTAAAATGTCATTCACTAATAAAAATGCAATGATTTCTCAAGAAGGAGGAGCTAAATTTGCATCCAGTGTGATCCTGTGCTCTAAGAAGAAAAGCAACATCCCTAATGTCATTGTTTCAATATAATAACCCTTTAATTCCCACAAGTGATTAACATGTATCTTCTCACTCTAATATCCATACATTATACAACAAACAGGTAATGAGAATACTCTCACTTATCGGGTAGAAACTGTTATCTTGATCTACCACCAAATTCTCATAACACATTTTGAGGGAAATGTGTATCAGCTACAGGGGAGAATTAACAATCAGATCATGGGAGTGAAAGGGTTTGTGG